CTGCTGTGCCAGGGTCACTGCTGTGCCAGGGTCACTGCTGTGCCACAGAGCCGCAACAAAGCTGGAGTAAACCCTGAGGAAAGGGCACGGAGAGAACGCGGTGGTGCCCAATCCCGATTGCAATGGCGCCTGCATCCTGCATGGCACTGCCATGGCTGCCTCCCCATCCCCAGGAGCCTGTGCCAGGGTCACTGCTGTGCCACAAATGAACCTGGAGTAAACCCTGAGTAAAGCACACGGACAGAACCCAACCCAATTTTCAGAGCATCGTCCTGAGCCCGCCGGCTCCAAGCTGGACGCACACAACAATGGCACACAGCTACTACTGCCATTACTAGCAGGAGTAGGCTTGAAGGATGTGGTGATTGCTCTCACACCAACAATCCACCCAAAAAATCCCATTTTTTCCATCTGGATGAAGCTCAGCTGCCTCACATTTCCCATGGAGGAAGGAATCGACGCTCCAACCTCTCTGCAGGATAGAGTTCGCTAGCAAAACAAATTCCACAGCTGCCTTTAAAAATAAATCTAAAATTCATTAAGAATTTGGGCATTCATTAAGAATTTTTTGGGCATTAATTAAGAATTTTGGGCATTAATTAAGAATTTATTTGGGCATTAATTAAGAATTTATTTGGGCATTCCGAGCCTTTGCTCTGTCAGGGAGTTTTCCCTGCAAGCAGCTCCGAGATGGAAATCAATGCCGGAATTTCCAGGCCAGAAAACTCAGAAGGACCCAGAGGTGAATTTTGGGGCCCAGAGAGTCCAAAATCAGTGCAGGCCCCTCCAGGGAATTTGGCACCGAATTTTGCCCATCAAGAAGGGTAAATTCAATTATTGCAGGGAGAAGGATGGAGCAGAATAGCCCCTGGCAGATGGCACATCCTCTGCCATGTATATTCATTTTTCTGTGCTCCATCAGCTGAAACATTCCCAGGTTATCCCAGTTTTTCTCCCCCTGGGAGCTGGGAATATTTTTGGGAAAAAGAAAAGATTTTGAAGCCGTGACCGCTCCTTAGAAAATTGCAGAGCTGTCGTTGTATTTCAATGCTCCGATCACCTTTTTGCTGCCATTCCCAGCTACAACAAGTTTACCACCAGGAGTAAATGTTTGAGCTTTCCTTGGGAATTCAGGCCGCAAAATTCCAGAAGGATTCTGACAAAAATCCACCTGAATTTGGGAGTGGCACGAATACAAATCCAAGAGGAAAAAGCCAAATTGTACCTCACATATTTATATTTTTTTTTCCCTATACTCGGAGCCAGGTTTCATTTTGTTCCCAACTCCCTGAGATCCTGATCCAGCCATCACTAAACTTCATAAAAAAACAATTAAATCGCTTGATTTGTGCAAAAATCAGCAGTGAAAGATGGAAATTTGGAGGCAAGGACAGCACAGCGTCCTCACACCCAGTGACATTTGGCTGCAGAATTCTGAATTATTCAATATATTTAAGGTAGCATGGAAGGAAAGAGGAGGAGAAATAAAAATCTCTATTATAGGGGGTTTTTTTCCCTCTCTTTTTTATTCTTTTGAATGGTATTTCTGCACCAAACTCAGCCCTGGTTTTTTCTCAAATTGACGCATCCCTCACCTGAGCCCCAATTCCATTTGGGTGAGGATCAAACACCAAAATCCTGCAGCTTTCCCACACTCCAAACCCAAAAATCCTGCAATTTTCGTTAGAATTTCCACACCCAACCCAAAACCTCAGGAAGCGAAACTGCGCTGGATTTGTGATTCCCTCGTTAGGGATAAATTCATTTGTTGCTCTAATGCAGGCCAAAATGAAAAGTGAGGTTTGAAATCCTTTCGAGGGAGTTTTGCTTGGAGATTTTTGCATTTTTTTTAATCTGGGCAATGATAAAAATTCCGCTTTTCTCGGATTTTGCTGCCACCCACACGCTATTCAAGCAGCTCCAGAGTGGGCAATCCAGAACAGATGCTCCCGAACGGAGGTAAAAAATTCCAGCCTTTAAAAATAGCAGCAGCAGAAAACTGAAAGGATTCAGGAAGATGTGGGCTTTTGATGAACAGCTAAAAAAGCGGAATAATGTCAAATGTGACAGACCCGGGGGAAAAGCTCTTTCAAAAATCCGCTCTTCAAATTTCCGATTATGGGAGCCATCGCGAACTCGTCCCAAAATTTTAGTCGGTGCAAATGAAATAAATACAAAAAAAAATAAAAAAAGGGGGAAAACAAAGCAGGAAAAAGCAAAAAGCAAGCCCATTGTTGAAGTGGAGTAACAGCTATTAAATCACTTTGCAACGAGGATGGCAATGGGAGGGATGTGCCCCGGTTCTGCCGATGCTCCGAACACCTGCCGACATCAAACGGCTGACAAAAAAAAGGCTTTCATGTGAAAAATGCTCCCTGCGAATGGCCCGGCTGGAGCTCAGGTTACATTCCATTCTCCTCCCCTGCTTGGGAACATGGGGAGAAGCCATGTTTGTGGAATTCGGCGTTCAAAAGGGGAGCGGGGTTTTACTTTCTTCTCCCAACACGGCAGCGCGGATTAGGCGAGCAAAAAAGCCACGGGAATTATTCCCGCACTTCCTAAAGTCCGCTTAGTTTCACTTCCCCTGCTTGGGATTACTTTGCTTTTTATTTTAATCTCCCTTTTTTCCTCCCCCTGTGCCAGAGAACTTTGGGTTTAGCGCAGGCAATCTGGTTGGCAAGAGGAATATTTAAAGGTCAGCTCAAACTTCAGAGGGAAGGAAAAGCAGGATGCGATTCTGCATAATGACACAAACAGCCTCAGCCAGGCAATTCTCTGCAATTCTGGCCAGGTGTTGTTTTGAGTGCCTTTTAACTCCATATTCCTAATTTCCTGCAGCTCATAAAATCAATTCCTCCAATTCTTTCCATTCTCAAACCCAACTGAATCCCGCTCCCATTCGCGCTCCTGATGCCAACGGCTGCAGTGGTGAGCTTTAGGAGGGAATTCTTATATAAATATAAATATAAATATAAATATAAATATAAATATAAATATAAATATAAATATAAATATAAATATAAACTCTGGAGGCATTTGCTGTCAGCCCAAGTGCTGCTTGCTGCATTGGACTGGGCTGTGAGCGTGACAAATTGATTTGTCTGGCACAACCACTCCAGCGAAAACAAACCGAGAGCCGGCCTCATCCCTTCCCAAAAATTGGGGCAGAAAAGGACAAAAACCAGGGTTCAAACCTAGAGCTGATGGTTGGAAAGTTAACCCAGCCCAAGAGCAAAATTCTCCGAGTTGCTATCTCTCAATACAAGCAAGTTGCTAGTTCACAATATAACCAAATTGCTATCTCTCAATATAAGCAAGTTGCTATCTCACAATATAAGCAAGTTGCTAGTTCACAATATAAGCAAGTTTGGGAAGATAAAACAAACCCAGGTTGTCATTTAGAGCCTAATTAGAAGAAGCAGAGCCTAACTAGAATCAATAGAATGAAAGGCACAAAATGAGTGTTTAGGTGAAGGAAAGCAGAGCAAACTTGCGAGCCGAAATGCCGCTCAGGAAATCAAAACCAGAACGATGCCCCAGTGCATGGAATAACGAGGAGCCCCTGAAAAGAGCAAAGCTGCAGATTTCAGGTGTGAAACTCCCTGCCAGGAAGGGTTTCTCTGTGCATCTCGGATTCCCCACACACACACAGTGTGCTGGCATGTGGGATAGGCTGGGAATTCAATATATCCCCACCTGGGCTGCATCCCAGAGCAGGGAAATGTGCACGGGGATCTTTGGGAGCTCTCGTTGGTCAGGCACAGAGAAACCCCTCCAGAAACTGGGGGTGCCAGACAATCCCTGTCCACACACAGAGCCCCCAAAACGCTTTTGTGCTGACAAAAGGTGGCCCTGCAAAGTCATCCCAAACCCTCCCGTGTCGGAAAGCAGCAACAGAAAGTCACTGGAATGATTTCATTCCCAAAAATGATTCCATCAGCACGCAGCCCTCTCTAATCCTAAAGACTTTTTTTTTGTCCCCTGCTGTTTAGTCTGGGATACTTATTTTATTGCTACAGCCTTCAATTCTAATGCACAAAATTAATTTGCACACAAGAGGTTTGGACGATCGTCCCCGACAGACAAAGACAGGCTTTGGAATTGGAAATAAAAAAATTCTCCAGGGCTCAAATCGCTAAAGGGAAAAGATAAATCTACTGGAAAACGAGAACAATTTTAAGCAATGATTAAACAGAGGCGAAGTCCAGGGGTTTTTAAAAAATCACAAATGTGTGGCGACGCTCTAAAAACCTCCCAGGCTTGAGGAAATAACAATAATAATAACAACAATCATCAACATCAGAATGAGAATAACCGGCTCTTAGGAATAATTCCGCTGCAATCCGAACGGATCCGCTCCCCCACGAGAGATTAAAGCACCACAACAAAGGTAATGCCCATGGAGAAATCAAATAAATCCCAACGCTTTCGCTACCACGCACGGAACAAAAAAAACGGTACATACTTGAGCCACTAAAATGTCCACTCGCCAAGGAAGTTGGTCCATTTTTGCCGCTGCTCACAGGAGGTGAAAACATCTACAACAACAAAAAAAAACAAAAACAAACAAAGAGGCATTACTAGTGCGAAAGGAGCAATTGGCGAGGCCGAAAGTTGCCGGCGCATTCCTGAGGAGTTTGTCTGCCCCCGAAGCGAAGCGAGATTGCGGTCCCGCTTTTCTCAGGCTCCTCGGCTTCCCAAACCATCCGCCCTTCTCGCCCGAGCCTCGCAGCCCTAACAGCGTTTTACTCCTCCGAGCAACAAAATTTGGGAACGCGAAAAAAGTTGGGATGGGTCGCGACCTTGGTCATCAACGTAGCGACGTCCATTTCCATCCCGCTGCGGGATTTGCCTGGCATGTGGGAACCCAAATAATAATAATAATGCCAAGTGCCACCTGCCCTAAATTCTCATTCCGTCTCTCCCACCGAGCAATTGGAAGCCAGGCTCGCTCCTCGCCCCCTCTCCCTCCCTCTCGCACTCCTCTCTCTCTCTCTCTCTCTCTCTCTCTCTCTCTTCCCAAGCATTTATTTCGACCCTAATTGGTTTCTCCCTTCTCCGACGTGTCTAGTGGGATAATACGCACCTTCCCTGAGTCAGAGGCTGCAAAAAGCCAAGGAACAAATGGGAAAAGTGCAGCGCCAAGCAGAGAGGGGGCTGCGAGGCTGCTGCCGCAGGCTACGCTGGCTGCCCAAACTTCCCCGAGCCATCCCTCAGAAGCCGAGGCTGGATGGAGCACGCAAGGGGGAAAAGCCAGAGGGGAGGGAGCCGCCTCTCGCAGCACAAAATCAAGAACTAAAGTGGATAGAGAGATATTCCTGACATCTTGGGGGGAAGGGAGGGGATGAGGAGAGAGGGAGGAAGGAAGGAAGGGGCCGGAGGGGGAGGGGGGAGCCTGACAAAAGTAGACAAGTGCACGCGTCCGGCGCAAGGTTCGGCCTCCAAAGCGGCCCAGGGGGGGACAAAAATCCCTCTCGGCCTCCAAAATCGCTGCCCCGATCCTGCCCGGGGCGGGGATCAAAAGCTCGGAGAGGTTTTAATGCCAGCACAAGGCATAGGAGGTTGCAGGGGAAACTTTCGAGTGAGACGGGTCGTGGATTTCTTTGCACTTTCCATGTGCCCGTAATGGAAACAAGGGGAGAACGGAAAGGAGAATATCAGCGAGTCATTAGCAATGAATTAGTCGGTGTGCCAACGACGCTGGGAAATCGAAAGCACAATAAAAGTGCAATATCGGTACGATGGAAGGATGAGAAATGGTCAATTTTCGGGGCGTTTCTTTTGGCAGGAATGATTTGAGCCATGAAACCAAGCTGCGAACGCGCCTGCATCTCCCATCACACGCAATCAGAAAGAACTAAAAATACTCAGTTTGGATTTTTCTTTTTTTTTTTTTTTAAGCGAAAAAAATATATTTACCATGCTTCTAGCTGCTGATTAAAAATTGCCCAATGCACTTAGAGCACAGTTTGGGGTTGGTTTTGTCGCTTTAGGGTTTTTTTTGGCTGGATTTTCTTTTTGTTACCAGAGCAGCTAGAATTTTTTATTTAATTTTTTTTTTTTACAGCTGTTGCTAATTTCCACCGTTGTTTCTTACCGCACTGAAATCCAGTAAATCACTCAGTTCTTTGTCCGTCCCTAAGGCAGCCATTCGCTGTTGGTGATGCATTTTAGCAAAATCACACAAACCTAGAAACATGGAAATAACCGCAATCAGAAATCCCGAGCCTTGCAGGAAACACAGTCGGATTTTGCTTTTTCAAGGGGGGGGGGTCGGGGGAGTGGGTGGTTGAGAAGAAGAAGGGAGGGGAAAAAAAAGATGGAGGGGCAGCAAAAAAAAAAAATAAAAAACACCCAAAAACACAACAACGAAAAAAAAAAAAGCGATATTGTATTTCCAAAGAGGCGAGCCAAACCCGGCAACATCCACTCTTTAAACCCAAATCCGGAGGAGCAAAAAAAAGGCAAAGCCTCGCTCCCGGAGCATCATTTATGCAACAGGAGGTTCAGCCAGGAATGAATGAGGATCGCAGAGAAGAAACTACAGCCATCCGCTCCCAACTTTTTCCCCTTCTCCTTCTTTCCACGCCAAGTAGCGTTCGGAGGCACGAACGGCAAAGAGCAAAAACAAAAAAAGCCACGGCGAGACGCGAAGTGCAGGTTCCGGGGNTGGATGGACACCAAACCTTTGGAAGATTGGTTTCCATCAAGAAAGCACCAAAATTCAGGATGGTGGAAGGAAGCGATGGATGGACACCAAACCTTCATTCCATCAAATGCAGGATGGTGGAAGGAAGAATTGGATGGACACCAAACCTTTGGAAGATTGGTTTCCATCAAGGAACCACCAAAATTCAGGATGGTGGAAGGAAGCGATGGATGGACACCAAACCTTTATTCCACCAAGGAACCACCAGAATGGTGGAAGGAAGTGATGGATGGACACCAAACCTTTATTCCATCAAATGCAGGATGGTGGAAGGAAGAGATGGATGGACACCAAACCTTTAGAAGATTCCCAGTGCAAAAGGACAAAAAGAGGTTCTTTGGGTCAACTCCTTCCAACCCAAACCAGAACTCAAGGAAAGAAAATCAAAATTCCCAAGTTGCCGTGCCCAGATTGCATTTTCCATGTTATTTGTTCATTAATGACAAAGAGAAGGAAATTTCCAAAAATTCCTAAATCTGGGATTTGGGATCTAAAATCCAACAGGGACCTCCATAAAATTGGGATTTCAGTGGGATGGGTGTAAAATCCAACAAAATTGGGATTTCAATGGGATGGGTGTAAAATCCAACAAAATGGAGATTTCATCGAGTCCCTTCCTGGCCTTATTCAGCTTTTTTGTAAATATTCTTGAGAATATTCTTGTCAATATTATCCATCCAAATTCTTGTAAATATGATTGTAAATATTGGCAATAAAATTCCCAAAGTGAATTCCCAGAGTTCCATCCCACCCCTCCGGACACAAACACAGCAAAGCAAATTTCTCTTTGAATAAAAAATCAGAAAGAAATAAAGTCCTGTTTATCAACAGAGAGCCACAGGAATGATTTTNGCTCTTTGTTTGCGGGCTCCCCAATCTGTGCCTCCATCTGTTCCTGCCCTCTGCAGGATTCTCCTCTTTGTTCCGCCCTGGCACCCACATCAAGAAAAATAAATCAATCAATAAATCAATCAATAAATCAATAAATAAATTCACCCCCTGGTTTCTTGGCATCCTTTCCTCGGTTTACCGTGGAAAATATTCCTGCAGATTCCCCAGGAAATGGTTAAAAAAGGGAAGCAAAGATGGAGAAATAATTTCAATTTCTGGACTTCTGAAAACTGGGATTTCCTTCCTCGCCTCACGGAGCCAGCGATAAAACACAAAACCACATAAAGGTAAAAGCATTAAATATGGCAAGAGTTAATTAATAGTTGGTTAATTTTCCCAATTGAAGGAAATTTTTGGTGGCCTCACACTAAAATCTCCTCCCGCACCAGGAAAATATTTCGTGCAGGAAATATGGAATAAAACTTGGGGGGCTTTGCTGACCCCACGGCATTAAATAAAAATAGAATTTAATCTCTGATGAGCAGTGGAACAAAAAAAAACCCTCCTGGTGCTTTTAGTTCCTTTTTCGAGAAGTTCTATCCAATCAAAGTCTCCATTAGGGAGCAATTAGAGCGTAATGGCCGTCTGAGTCCATTATCGTGGCTGTTTCACCTTGCGATAGTTAAAGATAATTTTTAATTGGAGCAAATTGATGGGCTGAGATGGACTCGGGCTCTCTGCTTTTGCTTTGCTCCTCAACTTTGGGGTTCAAGAAACGAGATAAAACCAGAGCAAAATCTCCAAAAATATCGGATTAATATTTCCATATTTCCATATTTATCCATTCCTGGTTATTTTTAATCCAGGTTTCCATCTCGGACACTTCCAAGATTTCTGGGGCAAAAATTCCTCTCAGAGCTCCACAACCCAAGGAAAATGTGAATTGCACACAGATGTAGAAATTCCACTTTAGGAGGACATCCAATGGAGTCATGGAATGGGTTGGACCTTAAAGCCCATGAATTTATCAACCTTTGGAAGATTGGTTTCCATCAAGGAACCACCAAAATTCAGGATGGTGGAAGGAAG